AATAGGAAAAACGGTCCCTCACTTACTTCTGTCTCTTCCACAGTGCTGGGAGAAGCAGGCAGAGGAGGTGACAAGAACCATGTGACCTTGAAAATGGACGTAATCTCTCTTTTCTTCATGCATATAAGAATGTCTGTAGAACCCACCTTACATGGTTATGGGAGGTTTAAATGAGATCATTTCAAACCCTCAGCAGAGTGTTTGTAACGTAGTTAAGTGCTCCAGAAATGGTTGATTTGCATCACTCTAAGCAAAAGGCCTCCCGCAGAGCCCCCTGGGGGACAGCACGGAAAGGCCAGCGACTGTCTGTTATGACACCGATGCCACCACCAGGGCTACAGGACACAGTAACAGTAATTAAATGCGCATTGTGTTCTGGGCCCAGATACCTTCCACTCAATTCCCCTGAAAGGCATTACCATCCCCACTTTACACGGGAGGGAACTAAAGCTCAGAGAGGTAAAGGGACCTGCTTAGCATCACACAGCTCATGGAGCAGCTTGGTTTGACTGCAAAGATGGTTCTCTTTCTACTGAATCAGCCTGTTTTTCTCTTCAGCGGCACTCCCTCCCCAGGAGACCGAAGTCTCGCTCCTCTTCAACAACCTGGACCGAGTTCAGCAAACACAGGGATGTTATAAAGACAAAGCTGCACTCCGGTCACTGTGCTGCAGGTCCTCAACCTGGCCTTGCTCGGAAGGGATCCGAGGCAGGAGGGAGAGGAAAAGTCTCGTGTGCCACCTGTTCCCCACGTGTGGACACTGTTACACTCCTTGTGTAAGTCGTTCAATTTAATCCCCTCAACCATCTGGGAGAGAGGAGTCACCATCCCCATTTCATAGAGGAGACAACAGAGGCTAGCGAGTGCTTACATCACTTTGCCAAGATCACACAGGTAGTACACAGGTGGCAGAAGTGTAGGGGGAACAGGGCCCGTAGCCACGAAAAGGACATTGAAATATTTAGAAGCACCAAAGCATGAAAAAAAAGATGATTTGAGCTACAGATGACGATTCCAGGGAGACACACAGCATATTACACTGTGACCACTGAGAGTCAAGGGCTCTGTGTCCAGCCTAAGGGTCTCAAAAGATAACTCTATGGCAGGGCTGGGGGAGCTCCAAAGGGGCCTCAGAGGCCACAGTGGGGAACCCCAACATTCCTTGCAAGCCCCCAAAGCGGCAAACTCCCCCAGGCTCCGTGGGGATGATCAGGACAGCCATGCCTGGGCTCCTCGCCACACCTCCTCCCCCAGCCTCATTAGAACTAGGTACGAGCAGATGTCCCGATTTTTTTTTTACATTAAAGAAAAATAATATAATTCACAATACAACTCTACTTGGTCCAAAACCTGCTTATTAAAAATCTGCTTTGGGAAAGAAGGAGAGTAAATGGTACAATCCCCCATGGAATGATCTCTGTTATGTCTAATTTTGACGGCTGGAAAATAGAATTAGATTCCTGTTCCCAATTCAGCTTGCAGTGCTTCTCGGCCCTGCACGAATAAGGAAGATGCAAGAATGTCTCCTCCCGGGCTCTGAGCTGCATTTCCCTTCAGTCCCTCATTTCTTCATCCTTTGATTTTTAATCCTCTTTGCCCTTGAACTTCTCCTGCTCTGCCCCACCTTCCTTCCCCCTGGTGGGTGGGGCCAGGGTCACTCAGGAGCCTCAACAGATGAGGTCTCCAAGCAGAGGGGCCCCGGGTGGTTGAGGAGTCCCGCCTGGCTCTCGGCTGGCCTCTCCAG